GATCAGCTATTGCGATTGCAAAGAATCCGGTTATGCATGGGAGAACGAAACACATCGAAATTAAGTTTCACTTCATAAGAGATTTGATTAAAAAAGGGCTCATCTCTTTGAAATTTTGCAGCAGTTTAGAGAACTTGGCTGATATTTTCACCAAATCATTGTCCTCACAGAAGCACGTCAAGTTCAGAAATATGCTCGGAGTATGCAACTATGAATCAAGGGGGAGTGTTGATTAAAGATTATTGATTCATAATTGACAGCTCATCATAGACTAAGTCCTTATTGGTTATTTTCATTATTCCTATTCTTTTGGTATTACTGTTAGTGGAATAAGTCATGGTTAGTGGAGAGGATTTTTAGGATCTCTAATTTGTTGAAGTTTATCTCCGTTTGTTTTTATGTTTAAGAGCTCTATAAATAGCTCTACAGATCAGTGAATAAATATTAGTTCTTCTTCTCAGTTCTATATCTACTTTGAAGTCTTTGTTTTTTTTTTGTTCTCTGCATTCCAGTTCCAACACCAGTAACCTTTGCAACACATGTAGATAATTAAGCATTTACTTCACTTTGTAGGGAAAATCCAAGGATTTTGGGGAGTGGAGACACAAGTGGGAGGCTTCTAAAGTACGAGGCGGCGACAGGTGAAGCAACAGTTGTTCTAGAGGGGCTTTCGGGGCCCGGAGGAATGGCCATGAGCAGAGACCAAACATTCCTTGTCATCTCCGAGTACATCTCGGGAAAGGTTGTCAAGTATCACATCAAAGGTCCAAAGGCGCATACAACCGAGACATTACAACTCGAAAACCTCAAAGGAAACCCGGGAAATGTGAAAAGGGCCAAGCCGGAGGGGTTTTGGATGGCCATGAACATCTTTAATGAGGAACCAAACCAACCAAGTATTCCTACCAAAGAGTCCTTTGCGGTGAAGTTTGATGAGAAGGGAAAGGTTTTGGGTAGAAGGGAAGTTAGCATTCATTTGCCTAACTTTTTGAGTGGGTATTTGGAACATGGTGGTAGAGCTTATGCTGGATCAAATGCGTCGGACTTTCTTGGTGTGGGTATGGCATTTCAAAACTAGCTAGCTCGAGGGTGATGGATGATCTTGTATATCACAAATTGTCGTTATATGTACCTCACTTGTGATCGATTGAAAAATCTAATAAAGTAATTGTTTTTCAATCAATTAAGTACGAGTAATAAAATAAATTGTACCGTTGTGATATAAGATATTTTCATTCGATAGGCTCACTGTTTAATCACATGCATGCATAAGTTCAATTTATATCGACATGTACCGATAGTACCATTAGACGGTGTTCGGCTTTATGAAGGCGCTAGTGTCTTTGTGCTAAAATAAATAAATTATTGTTCCGTGATTGGTTTAATTTAACTGTGTTTGGATATTGAAAATACTTTAGATTTTATGATTTTGGATTCAAAAATTTAAATTCTTGAGTTACAATGTTGAATATCCTTTTTTGACAAGCTATAAATTAAAAATAAAAATTTAACAATGGAAGAACATAAAAACATTGGAGAGAGCAAGAAATGTTTGGATGCCATGGCCTAAAAGTGATGTTTTGGTACTTTATGATCGAGTGGAAAAGAAAGCATAAAAAATGAAATAACATGCTTGAGTGGGGAGAACAATTTAAACGTATGATCGACCATGCTATTTGGAACTCATTGTGAATATTTGATTGGCTCCATGCCTCTTTTATTATTTAAATGAAACTAATATGGCAAACATTAAAAATACCTCTAATTACTTCATCAAATATGAGTTCTATTTTATGTCCTTCTCCAAATGATCCAATTTCATTTTAAAAATCTAGACTCAATGTTAGGTCTGTATTCAGCTCTAAATTACTCTATTGTCATATATCTTGCAACCTCTAACCATTGGAGATTACATGTTATAGTAACGGATAAATCTAGATAACCAAATCTTCTACAAATGACGATTACATCTTGTTAGTTGTTAAACATTTATCTCATTTCCTTAGTGAGTGTAAATGATAGGATAATTTGCTGATCAATGACTACTGATTCAGTATCACCTCTGATAACAGTATCTTATTAGTCACTCATAATTGCTCCCTAACTTGATCTGGGTTTAACTGCACGTACTGGATTCTTTGTGTTTCAACCATTGTGTATGCATCAATCAAAAATTGTAAATACAATCTTTGTGCAAGCAACACATGCAATACCACCATCATTTTCTTATTCTTGCATTTCAAATGCAACAAATTCTCCCAGTGATATTCTCAGACGTTTTACATTTTTCTGCACAAAATGATTCCCTTATAGTGGTATTTTCTTGATATCCATCCTCCCCAAAAGGAAACAACAAACAGTATTGCAGAGGTATGAAAACAGTGTCTCATAGACTTTCCGTAAGAATCCATCTCTTTTCGCGATGATGATGTCCCTTTCTTCATTACATGAATCAAGATCTCAAACTATTAGAATAGCAATTTCGTATACTGTAGAGATATTATAATTTCTTGAGTCTGTACTTCTATTTCTCAACAACTTCAATGATACATTAGAAGTAGGTTCATTATCCATAAGGTCTCTAATTCTTCAGAAAATATGTGTTAAAACATTATGCTCATCTCTCATATTTTTCAAATCATAAACTATACTTCGCCAAAGAATTATTCCCCATACTATTTGAAACAAATAGAATAATTTGTTTAACCTAGTATGTTAATCATATTCCAAGAGTATTATATTGTTAAACACATGTAAATAATACATTCTTGTATTATACTCCCTCCGTCCCCGAAAGGGTTTCCCTTATGGACTTTTTGGAAAATCTAGAGAGGGATATTTTGGTGTTGACTTTCCAAAAATACCCTTGATGTGATAGGTAAAAGTAAAATGCGATGGATAGATTATTAATAAAAAAGTATGATGTGATAGGTAGGGTATGAAAAAGTAAGAGGTAAAAGTGGTTTTTTAATAGATAAGGGAAGGAGTTAGTGGGACAAGAAAAAAAGGAAAGGGGAAGGAGTTTAAGAGACGGATGAAGTAATATTTATAATAAAAAATGAAAAAAATACATGATTTAACATTAAGTTAATTAACAGAAATACCAATTACACGACGCTAACGTGAAAGACTATTATGGTACAGATCGAGCTTTGGAACTGAACTTGAAAATCAGTTTTGCAAAATGCCAACCCATTCATGCTATTTCAACTCGTGTCGTCTTCCATTTGTTCAATCAAATCAATTGTTAATTATGAAACATCAAATGGGAGTATCATACTTATAACCATGCAAGCCAATGACCGGAAATATAATGTTTGTTTGCTGTCATTCATGCAAATCCTAACCCTATGTCAAATTAGGGCATCTTCTTTAGAGATTAATTTCTGAATGAATTCTCTAAATAGTTCTTTATAAATGGGAAGTTTTCATATTTAGTCCATATTTATCAAGTATTAAGTAGACAGTCTTTATTAATTGGGTATCATTCCATGTTTAGTCCTCCATCTATTTTTCCGTCTTCGTGCCGTTAGACAAGGACCAAACGTGGAATAATATCAATCAATAAGTACCACAAAAATAATATTTGATAATTTGGACTAAATATGGAAATTTCCCCATTATAAAAGAACTATTTGGAGAATTTGTTATTATTATTGTTATTGTTATTGTTTTTATTATTATTATTATTATTATTTATTACTATCATAATTATTATTATATGTTGGAGAGAGTGCATGAGCACTCTTATGAGAAATATTAAAATCACATACAAAAATGTCACAAAATTTACAAACATGCCATTTGTGGACTTAAATTTCTATATCTTTAATTATTTGAATCATTTTGTCATTTAGTGTTGTTTAAAAATGACAAATTTGTAAATTTTGTAATTATTTTATTTGTAACACTATTATTTCTCCAAGCTTATATATATGCCATTGCCATTGGCAACAATTCCAAGTCCCAAGTCCCAACCCATACGCTAAGAAGCTAACCATGGAATCAAAAAGCATTGCAATGATCTTATTGACTTCCACCCTACTAATGTTCATTTCGTCCCCCTTCGGGAGTAGTTCGGAACCGGCGGGGGGCGAAAACTCACTTCGGAAACTTCACCTCCCACACGCATTTGGTGGGGAAGACATAGAATTTGATCCCAAATCGGACGTGTTTTACACCGGCGTTGCAGATGGTAGAATTCTTAAGTTTGTCAATGGCACATTTGTGGACTTTGCCACCACTTCACCTCACAGGTACTCTCTGTCTCCCAAAATATTCTACTATTATCGGTCCAAAAAGTTGCATTATTTTTTCACTTTCGAAAAAAAGTATTTGTGTCTCATATTATTTCTCGCAAAATATTTAGTCTTTTAAATCTTCATTCGTACCTGGTCAAACATGGAACGCTTTTGCACGCTGGAAGGGTAATAATTATTTTTAGGAAAATACTTTCAGTTTAATTCAGTGTAGTTCCATTAAGTGAGGTTTTTTTCGTGCTAATTCAACAATTTTAAGTTAAAATATATTTTCCGTCCACAAATGTTTAGGGTTTTACTTGATATCTGTTTAGTAAAGTGAAAATGAAATGGTGTAGTACACTTTTGTTTAGAGAAGAGAAAAAAAGAAAGGGGAACCATAACCCATAGTAATAAGATGTGAAATACTTCCTCCCTTTAAAAAAAACAGTTCCTCTATGTTTTTTTCTTTTCTTCAATATACATCCAGTTTTGCAAAAAATAATTAATTTATCCAAACAAATTCATTGCAACATACTTTATCCATTTTTCATTGATATAATAAGGGCCTGTTCTTTTAGACTTGAACTCTTAACTTCCAGTTCTTTCCAGTTTCTTCCAGTTCTTCCAGTTTTTTCTAGTTTCTTCCAGTTTTTTCCAGTTTCTTCTAGTTGTTTCCAGTTTCTTCCAGTTTCTTCCAATTTCTTCCCGTTTTTCTTGTTCTTTCCAGTTTCTTCTAATTTTTTCCAACTATATTTATTTTCTTCAAATTCTTTCTACTTTCTGACAAATCACTCTAAAAAAATATATTATTATTATTATTCTTACAATTTTTTAATTACAACTTTTATGTTGATAACTATAGTTTATAAATTATTTCATTTTGTCATCTCACTATTTTTTTTTGAACCACTTCACAATTCATTAACTCATCACAAAAATAAGATCATACAATCTTCAATACTCCTCCCTACTTAATTCTACTACCTGGACAGTATATTACTCTTCTTCAGTTTACTACTAATGAAACATCTAATATTGAACATAATACATGAGACACACTCGTCCACCCTCACATCCTCCTTTAGGTGCCACTTAGTTTTTCTAGCCTTCCATATGAAGTAGCAAGTTGCTGCCCATGCTGCTATCCAAATTCCTCTCTCCCTTCTGGTTCTATGTCTCCTCATCTTGTCACAATATTCTTGGAAACTTGAAGCTTGAATTACACAACCCATAGGTACCATAATCTTACTGTGCAGCTCCTTGGAGAATGGGCATTCCCAAAATAAATGGTTGATGTCTTCTGCTCCATTATTACACAACAGGCACTTCGTATCAACATTGATGAACTTACTTAGCCTCTGTCTTGTCTGAAGTCTGTTCTTCAGGATTAGCCACATGTTGAATTGGTGTTTGGGTATCGTTAGTCTATTCCACACCACGCTAGCCCATTCTGCTTTGGGGGGTTGGCCTAGGAGCCATTGATACCCTTCCTCTGGTGTATATTCCCCATTAATTCTCATCCCCTCAAATTCTGCCCTCACTTTTACCATCCTCCTCCAATAATAGCAAGTGTCCTGTTTTGGAGTATAATCCCAGAAGTTTGTGCCCTTAATATATCTACTATGAATCCACCTAACCCATAAATTATCCTTCTTGTTTGCAATATCCCAGTTCAGCTTCATCACCAAGGCTTTATTCCAAGCATTTACGTTTCTGAACCCCAGCCCTCCACTTCCTTTTGGTTTGCAAGTGTCTTCCCAGTTAACCAATGGGACCCTTTTATACTTTTCAGCTGCTCCCCAGAGATAGTTTCTACATAAGGCTTGCACCTTCTTCATTACCCTGCCAGGAATAATGAAAATTCTACACCAGAAATTAATGATTCCAAACAGAACTGAGTTTATCAACCTAGATCTTCCTGCATATGATAGGTGTTTGGTGGCCCAACTT